TGTTTCTTCCGTGCAATTTCACATCAACTATACAGACACGAAGATGATCATTTAAATATTAGATCTGAAACAATAAACTATTTTATTCAAAATATGAACGATTTTGCATCATTTATTGATGAAATGTATTCAACAATAGAAAATTATATTGAAGAAATGAGTAAAGATGGAACATATGCTGATCATCTCGCACTTTCATCTACAGCAGTTATCATCAATAAAAATATAATTGTTCATGAATTCAAAAAAAAACCTATACTTATTCCTGGCTCCGACTTTCTTGAACATCAATTACATCTCTGTTATGATCCAAATATGCCACATTACGATAGTGTTGTTTGTATTGATGGGAGCCCAGCCTTTCTTTCGTCTGAGCATATTTTATTTACTTGATTAATTTTATTTTTTTTGTTTTTTATAATATTTTTTCCTTTCTTTACATATTTTCTAATTATCTGTTTACTTAAACTCTACTGGGTTCATCTATGTGTTATTCTTTTATGTTTATTTACTTTTTTTTTATGTATACTTTTATCTAACTTTTCATTATGTTGTATTTTATTTATTATAAAAACAATTTCGTAATGTCATCTATCATCTCACAAATACTTTTCTATTCACCCAACAACTAATTAATTATTTTATGAGACATATAATATTAACACATTTATAAAACTACTTAATATTCAATCATTTGTTTCACATTGAGATTTTATTAATAAATTATCTCAATACTTTTCATATTACAATGATTGGTAAAAATATTTCAAATATTAATTGGAAAAAAAAATTTTTATTGCTGATAATTAATGATTTTCACTTGTACCAAAATTCTGTTTAAATGTTGGTTCTGTAATTTTCATGATAAACTGATAACTCAAATATTTGTCACATTAATTGAATGGATTACTAAATTTTGTTTTTTCGATTAGCACTGATTTGCCAAAAATATAACAATCTTGTTAACGGTTCAATTTGTTATATGTTACAATAAAATGGTAAAATCAAATATATATATAACATAATTTGGAAAAAAAAATTCTACTTTTTCAGATCAACAATAAATTGTCTTACAACCATATGTTATTAATACATTATATTGATGCTTATGATAATAAAACGGTATGCTAAACTATTTTCAATGTTGATTAAAAAAGAAATTTTTTTAAAGATTGCCAATATTTTGTCTTGCAAGAAGATCTTATTAATATATTATGTTATTAATTCTCAAAATCAAATAGTACGTCAAAGTATGCAGTATGTTATGTAAAAAAAAATTTGTAATTTTAACCATATTTCATCTAGTAGAAGGTCGTATCAATACATTATCTTTATGCTTCTCATAATAAAATAGTACATTAAAATATATAAAACATTAATTCAACAAAAAACAATTTATTTTCAATCCACGAATCATTTGTTTTACAATAAGATCTTACTAATACATTACATTGATACTTCGCGCAACATAATAATAACTTAAACTATTCTCTATGTTATTTGAAAAAAATAAACTATTCTCAGCTCAACAATAAATTTTCTTAGATGAAAACTTTATTTAAAAAAATTTGTTAAATACACTATGTGATAAAATGGTACGCTAGAAATCTTTAATATTAACTTAAAAAAGAAATATTCATATTTTCAGATTACCCATAAGTTATCTTGCACCGAAGTCTTATTAATAGATCATCGTAATATTTTTGATGATAAAATAGTATGTTAAATTAATTTCAAAAATTAACTCGAAAGAAAAACTATTTTTAATTTTTAGATTAGTAATAAGTTACAAGATTTGCTTCAAACAAAGACAATAACAAAATAAAAAAAAACTTTATTATATATAAAATGATTTTTTGTAAACTTTTTGTTATAAAATTCTAATGTTTGCAGTTATATACGTAAAGTGAAATTATAATTTAATTTTTTTTTTAATGTTGCACTTGAATGACTTTTATATACAATAAATCGTTGTTATTTAGCTGATTATAATTATGATTACCTAAAATATTATTTATATAAAAAAATCGATTTCATTGAAAAATCAAATTGCTTGTACATTACTGAATCACTTTTAGGCAGAAAAGAACTTCAACTGTCTATTTTTAAAAAACATATGCAAAAAAAATTAGAATTCTTAGAATTCAACTCTTCCTAGACCTATACAAGAGGAAAAAAAAGAAATATTATTTAATTACGTATGTTAACATCTTACATTTAAAAGAATTTCAATTAGTTTATTTTAATTCATTTCGATTGTGAACATGATATTTATGCAATATCAATATTGATAGAATCAAGGTGATTTGTTTGTCACTCTCAAGCCACTTCATTTATTTTCATACCTATGGAGGTATCTGCTCAATAAATCTATTGATATACATACATGAAAAAGTACTAGTCTTAATACGGCTCAATGGCTGAGATAAATCGATTTTTTTGAACAGTGATCCGAATTACAACAGATGACTATACATTTTCTATTACATCATATCGACTATTAAATAAATACTCACTGATATATTTCAGAATAAAACAAAAATTTGGTTCTTTTTTTAGTCTTTATTCAATTATTGATAACGTTTTAAATATTATATATCATTAAAATAATCATCATATTAAATAAACGTGAATATCATAAACAAATATTATTCAATTTATTCTAATTTAAAGAGAATAGATCTTCAACAAGAAACAAAAATTCCTTTTAACTTTAATTAAGTTGTCTTTATTTTAAAAAAATATTTAAAAAAATGAATGTCTTATATAAAAATAAATATTTATTTGTTTAAGTTAATAACAAAAAAGTAGTGATGATAATCGTCTCTCTCTAATATAGATTAATTGAAATAACTTTTCAAGATTTAGATTACTTATAAATGATTATTGATCGTCACGAAAACCATCTATTGGAAATATCTTTTGATTTCTAATTGAATATTTTTTCTTTTAAATCTATTATTCATTTTCAATCAAATTATTGATATCATTTTCTTTTAATTCTATCCTATAATATCGATTATATATCGATAAAATCTCAACACAATTATAAATGTTGATTAACTGAAAAATGAAGTCATATATGATTATACTAAAAAATAATTCTAAAAAAAATTCTTTCATCAATAGTAGAACTCGTTAAAACAATTTCATCATATTCATGGTTTATATCACGAATTGTTACCAAACAATTAAATTCATTTAAAAACTCTTCTTTTTTTATCAAGCGATTCAAACAAATCATTTTTTAAATGTTGTTGGATTATTGATCGACACATATCCGAAGAACAACAATACATCATACATAATTTATCGAATATGCTTCTATCATTTGAACATGACTCATTTAAACAAGAACCTTAAGAAAAAAAAAGAAATTTTTTTAACTATTTATACGATTTATTAGATCCGTTCTAATTAACTTATTTCTATTATCGAATAATATTCTAACTGTTATTTATTCTTTCAAAAAAATAATTGAATTAGTTCGATTAGCTTTCAATATTATGTTTACGAAACAACTATCGATTTATAACATAATAACCAACTCGAACAATACATATTTGACTTATGAAAATCTTAAGCTAATCTTTCATCGGTTCACCGAATTGTTTTCATACTTTATTTAAGAAAAAAAAAAGAAGTTGAACAACTCCTTTAATATGATGATATTTAAAGTCGAATATGAATATATCTTTATTTAATTCTATCTAATAAATTAAAATAAGTCGTTTATTATAGAGATCTATTTCTAACTAAATAAACTTAATATTTAAATAACTTATCTATCAAACATTGATTATTATTCATGATAATTATAATTAGATTTAATATATTTTTAAATGCATATATCGAGAACATATTTAAATATGAATATAATCATTAGTTGCAAATCCTACTCTTAATTACATCACTTACAAATAATGATAAATCGATTATTCACAGTTATGACTATAAATCATTTAAACGATTTGAATTGAGAACGATTGAATTGTCAATTAATATTTCGGATGATCGTTAATCATATATCGATTATTTACATTTTCATCCATTAATAATAATATTAAGAAAACATTTTTTTTTAATTTTCCTAAACGATCGAAACATATTCGAAAATAAACATTCGAAACGGTTTTTATTTAATAATAGATTTATAAACCTCTAAATAAACAATATTATTTAATGTAGTTCTATATCGACCATATAAAATTGAATTTGTCTCATATTTATCTCAAATGTTTTTTTTTTGAATAAAAATGATCTAAATATATTAAATAAAATCGATTTTTATATTTAAAGAATTTTAACAAGTATTTTAAAATAAAGTATGTTTTATATAGAAACATAAAACTTTTTAAGTTTAAATAAAATTAAAAAAAAAAAACTCTTGTGAAATCTTAATTTGATAAGAAGTGAGAAACAAATAAATTGAAAAAAAAAGTACATATAATACTTAATCGTTAACTGAGACAAAACAATGTCGATTAAAATGACATATACATATAATGAATATAAATAAAAACTTTGTTATAATAAATGTTTATCTTTAACTAAATAATCTAATTTCGCTAATTTAGCATAATCATGAATAAAACAAAAGAAGAAATAAACAAATGAAATGAAGCAATAAGATCATTTATAGTTGATGGATAAACTGTTCTGGTTAATACATATATATTGTCCAAATAAATGAATATAAAACTTGATGTGAACATTTACCTAATTTATTTTTTATATTCAATTTGGGATTTATTTCATTTGATGTTCTTTTATATTAATAATCGCAATAACTTAATTTATATTGATTTCCAAATAATATATCAATAATATTTTTCTATATTTTCCAAGTATAATTAATGATATATTAAATGCATGTTCAACTTGATCAATTTTTGATCGAATTGAATCAAGTAAATTGGTCATATTTTCCTATTTATCTAATTTATCAAAAGAAAAAAAAACAATTCTAAATGATTACCACTTTTTAATAAACATAATATTTATATTGGATTATTATCATATGTTGTTATATGAGGATATCGTCTACATGATACATATAATGATGCAGCTAACCAATGTAATTGATCGCCTTCTAACACATAATAATTACGAATATGTTCATATGAACGCCATGCATCTAAGTTTAGTTCCATATCCATATTTAAATCAAGACATAATTTTGAATATAACATTTCAACTGATTCATCATCGTTAATTAATATTTTGCTTTCTTTTTTTTCTAAAATAGTAAAAAAAATGATTGGCATTGATTTAAATCAAAAAAACTTACATTAATAAATCAGGTAAATGAAAATCTATTGAAAAATACACTTTAAATTGTTTTTATTTGTAATTCCTTTTTCAATAACATATATGCCTGTGTTTGTTCATTGACATATTATTCTAACGACAATTCAATCATTTTTATATTGGTATACATTTAGATTTGTTTTTTGTCTTTCGTTCGCGTTTTTTCGCAAATCGATTCAATCGACAAATAAATAAGTACTTTTGTTTGACTTAGTTCATTGAAGTCATCATCTACAAGAAAAAACACAAGAAAATCATCAATAATGTTCATTCTTTTTGTTTTTAATTGACTTGATAATATTAGTCAAACCAACAAACATTAGGTTAATAGATAGACAGACACTAAATAGAAACCTCTTATATTGAACATATTATTTTAATTAACAAATCGAAAACAAAATAACCACGATATATATATATATACTATCATGATTTATATTCGTTGCTCTTTCTTTTTAACGAGACATTCTTTTTATTTTAAAAGTTAAACATTCATTTATTCATGTTTGACAATATTTGTTATTTGATATTGTTCAAATTGAAATAGAAAATGCTTCCATAATATTCTTAAATATTTTAAAGAAAACAAAGATAAAGTATTCACCAAAATTTAATATCGTTTTTCGTATATTTAATAAATAAAAACAGTATTATTCAATTAAGTCCACGTCTTGTTTCAATTAAATTTAGAAAAAAAAAATAATGATGACGAATAATTCCTGAATCATTTAATATATGATAAATGAAAGTATTTTAACAAAGAAAACTAAAGGAAGATTTCTATTGGTTCGTTTCAAATGATCTTCTTAAAACAGAATCGATTTTTTTTCTTTCACATAGATTTTCTCTTGGAATTTTTTCGAAATTAAAAATAATATTTCAATGAAAATATTAAATATATGTTCGCATACAGATATATTAGATTTGATTTAAATCGATGACTAGTGAGATCGTTTAAATATTATTTTATATATATAGGATGAAGATATTTTTAAATCATTTTATATTATTATTATTTATTTATTATTTTAATAAATGATTCTTACTTTCAAAAACTATCATTTTTCATTTATATATCAGAAAATCGAATCATTTTTTCCTATACTTCAATTACCCGTTCTATATTTATCAAAAAAACATAATCATTCATAGTCAATATTGTTTTTTTTTTAAATGCAGAAAAATCTTTATTATAATAATAATTATTTCGAGTTAAATTTGTTGGGATAAACTTCATAATATATATCTATGATCTACTTCTCATTTGCAAATATAAATTCAGTTAACGTTTAACTATAGTTGATAATTTTCAAACATTTTTTTATTATACAAATGACAAATCTTAGCAAGTTTTCATAAAAAAATTCTAGTTTTCAAAAACTATTTTCCAATACTTGATTAATCAAAGCACATAGAGTTAAGAAACATTTTCAAACATATTATAATAAAAAATTTATTAATTCTTATGTGAAAAGTGATTTGCTTTATAGAATAGGTCAAGTTTTTAACTAAACAAAAGTAAATCATCAAGGATGAATTTAAAAAGATTGCAGAAAACTATTTTTTATTATTATAAATGTAAAACATGAAGATTATTTTAATATTTTACAAGAATTCCTAAATGTTTATATCATAACAGTCTCGAATACCCATCACAAATCGTCATTTTGAGTCGCGATGATCTCGAGAATCCAGAGTCACAAAAAAACACTTGAAACGAGAGATACAAGTATCAACGAACTGGTGCAATATTTTTTCCAATATTTAATCGAACATTCCATTCAGCTATAAATATCGTTCCAAAAAGACGAATTTGACAGAACTTAGAGCTTCTTTCATTTCCAGATAATTAAAATGAAAATAAAGAGAAAAATTAGGCACCATTGTACTTTGTTCATCTGTTAAACAGCTGTAATTACACCTGATTGTAGATAATGAATCATATAGATAATTAAACGATCAATCGAAATCGTCCTTCAGAAAAGTGTTATCCTTTCATAGAGTTTTCTTCGCGATGAATTTTATTATGGCACTTTTCAATTTTCTCACTACTTATATCAACTGACTCCTGAAAAAAGTAATTTTTCGAACTTGAATGATACAGAGAAGTGTCTATGTTCGATAGGCCGTCTACAAATCAACCAGAAATGATGATTTCTATTAACTCGACAATCGAATTTCCGTTTTCTCCGAAATATCGTTTTTTCGAAAATTCGAGAGATTCGTGCTTCGCACCGCATTTCGTATTCGAGTCGAAACTCGAATACCATCTAGTTGTTATAATGGATTTAATTTTTACGTTGTTCTTCTCATGTATTATTAAATAATTATTATCCTGTTTATTCTTAAAACTTATCTTGAAACCCAAACAAAAATTTCATTAATAATTGTTGTAAATTTTGATGACAAATACATCAATGTTCTTAGTTATTATGTCTTAAACAATTATTCTAATTTCATAATCGTGACTAATCTATAATATGAAGAAGAAACTTATTGATTAAATGTTACTTATCATCATGATTTTACTATTATTATTTGTATGGAGTATGTCTGAAAATCAGAAATGAACAGAGTAAGTTTTTTTTTAGTTGTGTACATCATTTCAGACAAAAAATGTTCTAACCTTCAACCACTTTTATAGAGTTTGCACTTTGATGTTATTCTACTCTGCAGGATAGGTTATAGATAAACATGAAAATATCGATACATATAGATAGATGTACCATGTTGGTAACCTAAATACGAGCAAATTTAATTCTGAAATCTACGCTTTCTTATAAGCATCATATCATGTTGCTACTAGACTTGCACAATATGCATCTTAATGCAACTGAAGTATAGTGTTGATAAGAAAGAAAGAGACGAGCCGCAATCAATGGTCAAAACATATCATATGTCATGAGACTGAAGCATTACATAGATCTTTCGAGACCACGACTGCTGATTAAATTGACACTCGTCAATATTTTTTTATATTTATGAACGGATATGAAGTGAATGTATTTCGTTTTGTTTTGTTTTTTCCTGACATTTAATTATTATGGTTTTGATGTTTTTTGCAGATTCATTTAAGAAACCAATAATGAAAATATTGCAAAAAAAATAATAACTTTTTGTTTTCATTTGTTTTCTATTGTATTTATGTTAGAATGTTAAAATTGTTATTTTAATAAATCAAAAGAAAAATAGTCTATTATTTGCGACTATTATGTAAACATTTGTTATTAGTTTTAAATTTTAGTAAACTAAATTTTATTTATTAAAATTAATTTTTGCACAAATATTTTCTTAACAACAGTATAACGTTAATACATTAATCTATTATTAACAAGTAATAATTATGATAGAAAAATCATAGAAAATATGTTATTTTGAATCTGAACAATATAGATCTATTAGTTAAAAATAGTCATTTCTAAGATGTACACAATGTTTATTCAATCGTATTTATTTAACGGATGAATGTCATCTCTCTAAGGTTTTTTTTTATCCATTTGAAATAATAAGAAATTTGATTTAGCACTACTCAAAACTCGAGATCGATCAGAAGATGTTTGCTACAGTTGCCCAAGTTCAACAAATTTTCACGATTGGAAAGTCATCCCCTTGCTTTCCACGTTGAAAAGGACGAGACCGTAAATGGTTATAAATAATATAAAACGGTGAAAATAGTCAGAGAAACGATTAGGGATGTACCGAGACTCTCGATTCGAGTCGGCTCGGTCTCGGTCAATCTCAACCGAAAAGCTTAAAGAAATATAATTTCGCCCGAGACAGAGTAGCACACTTATCTATGATAAAGAAATGATCGAGATTAAGCATAATCGAGACCGGCACTACTCAATACCAAGGTTGAGGCTGACCGAGAGTCTCGGTCTCGTTCATTCTCGGCCGAGACCGAGCTCTCGGTACATCCCTAGAAATGATGACCACTTGTTCGTAGAAAAAATGGACTGACAGACAATGACGAAATATGATGAAAACTAATGAAATGATACACCATTTTATCGTCGTTTTCTATCGTTTAAGCTGGTGTTGTCGATAATCGCCTTGAACGTAATATCGCTACTATCGATTTCTATCCGTTAAACACATTAGATTAGCACAGAATGCATTTGATAATATTGTTGCTTAACATTTTTCTTCTCAAGCAATAGAATTTTAACCACAATTAATCTATTTCATATGTATAGATTGTGTGTGAGCGACATCTGTTTTATTTTGAATAAAATTTCTAATATTAAACTTTGAATTGGATAAAATTTTTTACCATTGTTCATACCTGTAGCACATGCTTGTGTTCTGTTGTGTCTACCTTTTGCGAAGGTCATCATCACAAAAATATTAATCAATTCGTTCATTGAAGTTTAGACTTAAAAAAACTAAAAAGAAAAGAAAGAAAATGCCTGCTCCCATGGACATGGAATCAGATAGACCTTCAATTAATAGTCAAGCTACCGATGGTTATAGTCCTGATTTTTTCGATGGTTTGTGCCAGAAAAAAAATTTTTTTTTTATAAATCGAATTTATATTTGTTTCTTGTTCTCTCTCTCCTATAGCTTCTGTATCTGATCTTGCTGATTTATTAAAAAGTGAACCACAAGATGATTATATTGTTGGTTTACAAGATACTCTATCTACTGTATTTTCATCACCAACAATATTTTCGCTTGCATATGTAAGAAAAAAAAAAAATAATAAAGAAAATTTTTTCATCCTATATTTTATTGTTCAAATTAGTGTCATGATTTACTTCTTCGTTTTATTCAACAACCAGAAAATATGCGTCCTGTTTCAACTGATAATCTATCTTTATTAACATCCTTACTTAAAGATCTTGAAATAGTTGGCATGACAAATAAATATGCACGTGAATTAGATAGTATTTTACGACGACCACATATACGAGTAAAGTCTTAGAAAAAAAAAAATGAAATTTATTTTTGATTTGTC